TAGATATCAGTGGAACAGTCATAGAACAGCTAAAAATTAGCTAATTATCATGCAAATTAGGTAATTAACGAGCATGGATTTTTACCAAAACCTAATCAAATCTGTGCATTGGCCCAGAGCATCTATGCACCAAGTTTCATCAAAAACCGATGTATGGTTCTTGAGATAGCAGTGGAACAGTCGGACACACATACACACACACACACACACACACATACACACATACACACATACACACACACATACAGACACACTAACTGCAAAGACTCCCATTTTGTGCTTCGCACATGGGAGTCAAAAACAAAATGGCCACAAGTCACCCATTTAGGAGCCGATTCGTAAAACAAATTAATGTGCATCAAGGTCTCATAATGTGCAGTGTATGTATCAATTTTGAATGAAATCTATCCATAAACGACTGAGATCCGGTTCCGGAATGCCAGAAATGCTGGATTTTTGGCACAAACATTACCACCATTCGGCCATTTTGAATCGGATAGTCAAACCAATATATCTGTATATCTAAGACATGATGTATAATGAATATATAAAATTTGAACATATTCAGTGAAAGCAGGTCAGAGATATTGCTCTAGAACCACATTCATCAAAACAAAATGGCCACCAACTGTGAAAAAAAACATCTGTAAACTGCCAAGATCCGGTTCCGGAATGCCAGAAATGCTTGATTTTGATGACTTTTAGCAAAAAAATTATGCCAGTCGGCCATCTTGAAGCAGACCATGAAACAAATAGATGTTCTTATGTATACTATTATATATGATGTATGTGTGAAGTTTGAATGTAATCGGTCCAGGCAAGTCTAAGATACAAGTCCGAATGCACACATGCATGCACAAAGGAAATCCACAAGTCCCTGTTTTCGGATGGCATCAGAACAGGGACTAATAATTTGTGAGGCATAGCTGAACACATCTCAATTAGACCCTTCTCCTCATCCAATATGGTGCTGAATTAAACAAATTTGTAATAGTTACATTTGTGGGTTTTTTGTTGAAATGAATTATTATTATGTGATAAATTAATGTAAAGCTAATTCTGATAGTGGTGTTATATAGATAATATTGATTAGGTTTATTCAAGTGATTTCTTTTCAGCGGTAAGATTGATAAATGTAAAGTTTTCCCAATTGATACAATATGAAATACAGCAACTATTATAACCAGGCACACAATTTCATTTTGAGGAACAACAAAACTTCTGGGTTCACAAGCAAGACACCACACACGACAATAATTGTTTTTGCCATATCTTTTGAACTACATTCTATGCCCCTACTGTGTGCTTATTCAGGTTTGGGGCCTACTTCTGGTGGTACAGGGTGTATTTTACCACAGCTTGCATAATTAAAAACATGTTCTTGACTAATCAGAATTGATTCATATGTCCCAGTATACTGTAAAAGCAGGATGTGAATATATGATTATATATTGCAATGTTTATACATAACTTGAACTTACCAATAGTGTGGGCATATGTATCTGCCATCCAACTCATTTCTTTTTCACCTGTACCCATATCTGGGGCAGGAACATCCACACCTGGACCTGAGTGAAAATCAATTGAATTATTTTCACTATTTATTTTAACACAATTGCAATAATCTCATAAAGAAGCATTATACAATACAACTTAAATTAACTAACTCTATTGCAGGGTATATGCTATAATAAAAGTTAATCAAACTAAATAAGTACTCCATTGTCTGTATAGCCAGTTCAGTAAGAGGGTCTTTAGTTTGAATCAGCCAAGACTAGTATCACTGTCTTGTCATGGAATGAGTTTAAGTGCAACTTTGGTGATTTGATGCTACATATGTGACTTGGTTTAAGAAGGCACCCATTTTCAAGGCCAAATTTAATAAAATTATTTTAGCCTACTGGAATAATACAGGGAATAAAACTGTATTTTTCAAAGACACCAAGACAATGCATGCATCTGTGAAGTTCATGCCCTGAATGTATGTGAATAAAAGAAGAAACAGCACATCAACTGTGAGTCTGCACTAACACTTAAGGTGAAATCATTCTAACAATT